CAGACAGCTGGACAATAGATGGCAGGGTCTCCTCTTTCCACCTCTATACCAGGGACAAAGCTGGTGGGCAAGACCCCAGGGAGGCTACTATATCCGTAAGATGAAAATCTGGTTCTCTCAAGAGGCTGGCCACAGTCATCCTGCTAATGGGTCTTGGGGGTGCAACTGTGGCTGTCTGTGTGATCTGAAGGTGGCTCCTCCTTATCTAGGCTTCCTGGGCTTCCTCGTGCACAGCAAAGGGGCTTTAAGGGTAGACTCTTAGCTTCAAGTGGCTGTGGGAAAGATGCTGTGATTTGTTCAGGGTCAGCAGCAGCCAGGGTAGCTTAATCCCTTATGGGGGCTCTTAGGAGCCCAGGCACCTCCCTTCCTCCCTTTCAGTTCTTTGTGATGCTCTGCTGAGCCTAATTGTCTAACTACTTGCATTCTGCAGAAAATCCCCAAAGAGTTTCTTTCTCTCTCCTGGTCACACCCGCTCCCTGTGTGAATGCATTTGTTTTTAACTCCTGGTAGTTCTGGCCTCTGGGAAGGATGACAGAGCCTGTAAGGAAGAAGCTTTCAGCTGATGTCACAGAAGTTGAGCTTCCCTTGCCCATCCAACCACCAGGCACTTGGGGATTTTTTTTTTTTTAAATGGGAAAGAGGTGCCAGCTGAGAAAATAGGAAAATCACCTGCGAAGTATGACTGAGGCGGGATGGTGTGATGGAGGTGTGCCTTTCTGAAAAGGCTGGGTGGCCTGAGGGCTGCAGAGTCCAATTGCTCTCTTCCCTGAACTGTCCAGATGAGGACATCCAGCGTTCGGTCCAAGGTAATAAGATGAGTCAATGCCTCTGGAGTTCTGCTCTAACTAGCCTTAAATAGACCAGTCCTATTATCCCTTGGGCCTTGGGGTGAAAGAGCAGGACATATACACCCCTGTGGTCCTTGGGTAAATGGAGCTTTTTACCCAAGGTGAGAGAGCCTGTGCGTGTTGGGGGTCAGGGCCTGACATGATGAGAATGCAGAAGAGACGGAAGGCAGAGCACCTAGGGACAAGATACTGAGGTGGACCTGGGACTAGGAATTCCACCCTTCAGGGTTCCTCTTTCATCTACTCTGACACAGAGATTACTCGGTCAGGACTGCGCGATTTGTAATGGGAACAGGCTTCTGCCAGATAGGCTCTTCTTTCCCACCATGAACCATCTCTTGTCTCCTTTGACTACCAATTCATTCATTTGGAACAAAGTGCTTCCTTTTCCAGGGTTCTCTTTGCAACTGCAGTTGCCTTTGAGAGGCAGGCATGAGGAGAGAAGATTCTCTTGTGTGAATTTGCTGATTAGAGGCTCTTCTTCCAAAAGAAAGGCCAGGGAACAGGGGATCACTGTTTCTTGGTGGGAACAGAAGCCACTAGGAGTGGGGAATGAGGCTAGAAGGGGCAAGGGCGGACTGCCCACCAGGAGGGGGAAGGACTGAAGTCCAAGCTCAGCTGTCTCCCTGGGCGGCCTAAAGTTGTCTCAGATCTTTCAGGACAAGTGCTAGGTCCTGAAAATTCCTGCTCCTTCCCTCCCTCTCTCCTTTCCTTCCCTCTCACCTTCTTTTCCTCCTCCTTTAGTGCATATTAAATGCCTACTACAGGTTGAGTATCTCTTATCTGAAATACTTGGGAACAAAAGTGTTTTGAGTTTCAGATTTTTTCAGATTTAAGAATATTTGCATATACGTAATGATATATTTTGGGGATGGGACCCAACTGTAAACACAAAATTCATTTATGTTTCAGATACACTTTATGCACATGGCCTGAAGGCAACTTTATACGATATTTTAAATAATTTTATGCATGAAACAAAGTTTGTGCACATGAGTGGTGTCATTGTTGACACTCAAAAGTTTATGGATTTCGGAGCATTTCAGGTTAGGGATGCCCACTCTCTAATGCAGGATATTATGTTAGGCTTTGAGATAAGACCCAGGACCCAGGGCTTTTATTAAAGAGTCTTACAGACCAGCAGAAGAAGCTAGTAGAACAACCTTGTCTAACAAGCCTTTGCCGGTGCTTGAAGTACAGAGCAAGGGGTAGCGAGTGGCTTATGAATATGAATACAAGAGGGAAGGATCACAGAGGCTTCCTGGAGGAAGTGCTGCTACGGCCGGGGCCTCAATGTGGGTGAACGGTCAGGACATGGACTCGGTGACGTGGTGGTGGGGTGAATGATGGGAGAACATTCCAAGCAGAAACAGAGCAGGAGTAAAAGTGCTGAGCTGTGGAACAGTGCTATATTTGAAAATGGCAGGAGCCAAAAAGCAGGGATAGGGCCATGAAAAGGGTTGAGGCTGGGGGCGCTTTGTGAGCCAGGACTTCTACTTCCTGGGAAGTCGCTAGGAGATACAGGTATTGATCGACTTATGACCTATGCAACTTACGACCATTCGACTTTACGACCACAATCGCTAGCCACGACTGCTCCATGTCTGGCAGCGCAAACGTTGCCCAGCTGGGCGTACGACAGTGCGGACCAGCTTCCGGCAGCACTACCATCTCCGCGTGCATATAGCCTACTCAACTTACGACCAAATCGTGTTACGACCGGTCTGTCAGAGCCAATCGTGGTCGTAAGTCGAGCACTAGCTGTATAGGCAACTTACTAACGTGATCAGATGCTCATGTTTAATATCTGAGGGTGCTCAGGAGGCAGGGTGGAGGATAGGATGGACTGGGGAGAGGCGGGAAAGCTGCTTAAGACACCATTACAGTAGGTGCTTGAACTCGGGGTGTAGTGGGCAAAGAATTGTGAAGGCATATCTTTATTCTCACATAATTATGCCACTCACGGTGAGAAATCGTGACAATTTGAAGTTTGAAAAAGTGTTCTGCCTCTTACTTTTATTGATTTATTCTTTTGAGACAGAGTCCCGCTCTGTGGCCAAGGCTGGAATGCAGTGGCGTGATCTCAGCTCACTGCAACCTCCGCCTCCCGGGTTCAAGCGATTCTCATGCTTCAGCCTCCTGGGACTATAGGCGCCCGCCACCACGCCTGGCTAATTTTTGTATTTTTAGTAGAGATGGGAGTTCACTGTCTCTACTAAAACCATTGGCCAGGTTGATCTCCAACTCCCAACCTCAGGTAATCCACCTGCCTTGGCCTCCCAAAGTGTTAGGATTACAGGCGTGAGCCACTGCACCCAGCCCCGACTCACTTTTGAAAGTGAGATTATTGTCAGCTTGTGTTCATTAATATGAACTTGCAATTGAGGCACTTCCCTGTGACATCCTACAAAGAAGCAGTGTCAGGAAGAAGACACTCAGTGAACCCCTACCCCCTCCTGAGACATGCAGCAGATCCAAGCTTGGCTCTGGAGCCGGTCCCAGCTCACTTTGGGCTCTTGTCATGATGGCATGGACACTGACACGCAGGGTAGGCTCTGTGGGACCCTCTGATGACCCAGCCAGAGGGACTGGTCTTGAAGTTCCAGAGCTGGCAAATCATGGAAAGCCTAATGTTTGTTGCCATGGAATCTCCTGGGGGAGTATGAGGAGAATTCATAAAAAGTTAGAAAGGATACATAAACATCAATGACATAAAGAAAAACACAAGTTCAGAGGTGGGAGAGACTAGTTCCAAAGGAGGGGATTATATTAGAATGTGGCTCACAAATCTGTCTGTACAGAACTCACTTGGGGAAGCTGAAAATACAGCTTTCTGGGCTCTACCTCTAGGGAGCCTGGACTGTGTGATCTTCTGTGCTTGGTGCACTGCCTGGAACATAGACATGCTCAGTAAATGCATTAAGAATGAATGCATCTCCAAGGTCCATCCCAACTCAGTGATTCTGTGTGTCCTTCTGGCTTGGGGAGGCAGGAGGGAGGTGTTGCTGGAAGAATCTTTGAGGCAAGAAGAAGAGCAGGATCACAGGACCAAGTAACTGGGCAGAACAGTTTGGCACCCTTGTAGCTATTTTGCATAAATGCCAGGTGCAGAGTAGGGGCGGGTGAGTATGCTGGTTTAGACTTTCCCCCTTCCTTTAATCATCAGCTTTTAAGCTGAACTCAGCTTTTATTGGAGAAAGGTGAGCTAGCTGAAACAGGCAGATGGAATTTGTTGTTGTTGTTGTTTTCTGAGAAAACAAAAGAGGTGTGAGAAATCAACGCAGAGGAGGGGCCCTGGGTTAGGACTTGAGACTGGAGCACCCCTCACTCCCCATTGGCCCTCCTGTGACATGTTGACGCACTGTCTGGGTCCTATGGGTCTATCACCTAGTGATGGCAAGCAAGCCAGAAACCCCAGGGAATCCCAGGACTCCAATGTGGGCCCATGTGTGAGAATCTTAATGACCTCAGACGACCTGTGAGCCCAGCATCTCCAGTACCCACAGTTGCTGTTTCCGTAGACTGAGGCTCTCCCGGCGCAGTTTCTTGATGCCTCCTAGAGCCTGTTCCGCTGTCTCCAGGCTCTCATGGAGAAAGTGCTCGTGCACTTATTACTGCCTTCTCCTCCCTTGCATTGCGTGGAACCATTTACAGTTATCTGCTATAATATCTTTTGCTTTTAAACAATGGTATTGTTGATGATAAAAGCAGTACACATTGATACAAAAAGTTTGGAATAAAGAAGCTTCGCAGTTTAGTTCTGGCTGTTTAGAACGCTTCTGTGAGCTGCGATGGTCACAAAAAGGAGAACTGAAAAGAGCTTTAGCCGAGGGCATGATGGCTTATGCCCGTGATCCTAATACTGGGAGGCCAAGGCAAGAGGATTGCTTGAGCTCAGGAGTTTGAGACAGCCTGGGCAACATAGCAAGATCCTGTCTCTACCAAAAATAAAAAAAAAAATAAAAATAATTGGCTAGGCTTGGGAGTGTGCACCTGTAGTCCCAGCTACTTGGGAGGCTGAGGTATGAGGATCGCTTGAGGCTGGGAGGTAGAGGCTGCAACTTGGGTGACAGGGCAAGACACCATTTCTAGAAACAAGAGCCTCGTTGGCTTTCTCTGACGCCCTTTCATCTTATCTCCTGTCCCCTCCAGAGGCTTCACCCAGCCGTTCTCCGGTGCCCAGGTCGTGGACTGCAAAAGAAGCATCCCTTATGCTCTGGACTCCTGTGAATAAACTCTTTTTTACATAAGGGATTGTAGATTTAGATACAGAGCTCAGGACTATTAAGGAGATTCCTGTTTTATTGGCTTAGAAATAACAATGTAGTGAAAGCTGACTTTCTTAAAGAAAAATCGTCTTGCCACTGTGAATATGGGAGAGCACATCCACTTCCCCTGCCTCTGGGGGATGCCTTGGTTGAATTACGTGTTATTATAAGGCATTGTGTGCCTCCTGAGGAAGCTGCTTAAAGACAGCCAATAATCAGCAAGTTCATAAACTTGTATGACCTATGGGTATCTGAGAATGGAGTACAGGTGTGTAGAGATGTAGAAGCCACCAGTCCTCAGGGTCACTTGGCCACCGGGGGCTGCTAAACTCCTGGGCTGCATGCACATGTGTACACACACACACACACACACACACACACACACACACCCCTTTGCTCTGTCGGCTAATTTCTGTGTTCATGAGCAAAGATCGGTCTCTCCATTTTGCAAATAAGGAAAATGAACTCTAGCAGACAACTTTAGCATATGCAAAGCACTGGGTTAAACACTTTACATATCTGAACTCCCTTAATCCTCCCAACATGTTGAGGTTGTACTAATATTATCCCCACGTTCCATGAGGATAGGCTAATAACTTGCCCAGGTTCAAACAATTAATGAGGAGCGGAGCCAGGAGTCAAAATGGAAGAGTGTGATTTCAGAGTCCATACCCATGAGCATTATTTTATCACGTTGCTGCCCATGGGGTCTTCCTGAAGTACTGCTTTGCACATGTAACTCCCAGCTGTACAAAATGTCAGTGGTCCACTGTTGCCCACAGGATAAAGATCAAGTATCTTAGTCTTACAGTGCTTTCCACACCTGCAATCAACCCCTGTTCCTGCTAACCCAGCATGAGCAGTGAAGAGCCCTGGCGTGTGCCTGGATGGTGTCATCTCACTAAGCAAGCATGCTCTCTACCTGTCCTCTTAGTTTAAGCCCAGACCAAGCCTCACCTATTCAGGAAAACACCCCCTCTACCACCGTCTTCCTCGGCTGACTGTATTCACAGTGATCTTTTCCTTCTTTGTTGATACTCACTGTTCATGCCCTTTGTTTCGTATTTAGTTTGGGTTATATTCTGTTCATGTGCCTTTCATTTATCTGTCCAGTCTCCCTACGGCATCCTCAATGTCAGCCTGTTATTGAAGATGCTTATTTTTATCCCCACAAACCTATTTGATGAGAAATTGAGACTCAGTGAGATTTGCCATTTGCAATATTTGCTCAGATATCATTTTCCATTCAATAGCGAAATCCTAAATATAGCGCATTCGTGAATTAACATGGTCTGACACCATGCCCCATGCCCTATGCAACCCTCTCTCCCTCAGACCACCTCCCCATTCCAGGAGGTCAAGATTGACTGTCCTAAATAGTCCTCATCATTACTGCTTTGTGCAGGACTTAGCTGTGCTGGATGGTATTAAGTGTTGTACCCAGCTGTTATTTCAATGTGGGCAAATTTTCACAGAATTGGGTCTGACACCAGCTGTGTCTCAGCCTTGGATAAACATCCTTCTGTTCCATAGGGGAGGTCTGAAAGAAGGAGAACCCCTGGTTTGGCTTCAAAGACCAGAACTTCGATTCAAGCTGCAGCCTGTTGTTGCTAAACTTCAGTCATTTGAGTGCCAGCTTCACAATTTTTGCCATGTCTACATAGTCCTCACACTCTGTTTTATTACTTTTTTATGGAGACAGGGTCTCTATCTGTTGTTCAGGCTGGGGTGCAGTGGCATGATCATAGCTCACTATAACTTGAAAATCCTGGCCTCAAGTGATCATCCCACCTCAGCCTCTCAAAGCACTAAAATTACAGGAGTGAGATACCACGTCTGGTCTTATTTTTTTAACTTAAATTTTAATCTCATCCTAAATAATAACAACCATCTCATTACAGGTTCAGTGTGCTCGTTACAGTTTTTCAAATGGATATTACAGAAAATGCATACCCATTAGATAACTTTTTTTTTTTTTTTTTTTGGAGACAGAGTCTCACTTTGTCACCAGGCACCAGGCTGGAGTGCAGTGGCACGATCTTGGCTCACTGCAACCTCCGCCTCCTGGGTTCAAGCAATTCTCCTGCCTCAGCCTCCTGAGTAGCTGGAACTACAGGTGTGCACCACCACGCCCAGCTAATTTTTTGGTAGAGACGGGTTTATACCATGTTGGCCTGGATGGTCTCAATCTCTTGACCTCATGATCTGCCCACCTTGGCTTACCAGAGTGCTGGGATTACAGGCATGAGCCGCCGCACCCGGTCAACTCTTTTTTTTAAAGACAGAATCTTGCTCTGTCACCAGGCTGGAGTGCAGTGGTGTGATCTCGGCTCACTGCAGCCTCCATCTCCTGGGTTCAAGCAATTCTTCCTGCCAAAGCCTCCCAAGTGGCTGGGACTAAAGGTGTGTGTCATTATGTCCAGCTAATTTTTGTATTTGTAGTAGAGACCAGCTTTCACTATGTTGGCCAGGATGGTCTCAACCTCATGATCTGCCCGCCTCAGCTTCCCAAAGCTGGGATTACAGGCTTGAGCCACTGCGCCCAGCTTGGTAACTGTTTATCTGTGTACTGTGCACATTTTGTCACCTCCCTCTGCAGTGTGCTTGCCACCCTCTGGGACACACTGCTCTAGTATTTTGATTTTCTCCTCCTCACCCTTTCTAAGTGGGAAGTCTCTTCTGATCAGGTCACTGGTGTCCAGGCTGGGTGCCTGTGTTCTGGTGGGTTCCACAATGACACCTTCAGAGCCACACTCAGGAGGTAAAGGCTTCCAGGCAAGGCAATGGGCATTTTCTTTTCTAAAGAGGAAGAGCAGCTCAGCTGTTACTCCTTACCAAATCCAGGGTCTCTAGTTAAGATTTTGTTGGGAAAAAAAGGCCGTATTGATTTTTTTTAAAGCATGAAAACCATAGGCCAAGCCCATCCAGGATGAACACTTTGGGAACGATCATTTGTTTGGATAATCATACATTCATACATTCATTGAGTACTTATTGGAGCCTCCCTTGGCTCTTCCTAGCTTAGGGGTCAGGGGAGCTGGCTTTAAGCATAGTTTGTTCATCATAATGAAACAAAAATGTGCAGCTTGGGATGACGCCATGCCAAGCACCGTTCCTATTTTCTTCCACTTGATCCAGCTTGAAGGTAAACTTTCGGTTCAAGTCCAGAAGCCACCTTCCAACATCAAGCACTCCAGAATGACCCAAGCCCTTTATAAGGTAGGGAGTGATGGTCAGCTTCTTTTCCCTAGGAGACAATGAGGAGAGGCAGATAGCCAGGGTAGCTTTGAACAGGCAGGTCTGGCCAGTTTATCACAACAGGTATCACAACATGATGACAGCACTCTATCCACATCACCATGCCCCATCTCCATATGATTTTTAAAAATGTTTTTATTTTAATTTTTGTGGATACATAGTAGGTGCACATATTTATGGGGTACATGAGATGTTTTGATATAGACATGCAATATGTAATAATCACATCATGGAAAATGGGGTATCCGCCTCCTCAAGCATTTATCCTTTGTGTTACATAACAATTAAATTACCATTGATTATAGTCACCCTATTGTGCTATCAAACATGAGGTCTTATTCAGTCTGCGTTTTTGTACCCATTAACCATCCCCACCTCTCCCCCTCCAGTACTACCCTTCCCAGCCTCTGATAATCATCCTTTTAATCCTCATCTCCATTAATCCAATTGTTTTGACTTTTTAGATCCCACAAATAAGTGAGAACATGTGATGTTTCTCTTTCTATGTCTAGCTTATTTCACTTAGCATAATGATCTCCAGTTCTAACCATATTGTTGCAAATGACAGGATCTCATTCTTTTTTATGACTGAATAGGTATTCCATTGTGTTTAAATATCACATTTTCTTTATTCACTCATCTGTTGATGGACACTTAGGTTGCTTCTAAATTTTAGCTATTGTGACCTCTCTCCTGATTAGTCAGTCAGTCAATCAGTGCATGAGGGCAGGGATCCAAGAGGGTCAGTCAAGTCAATAATGTAGTCATACAGGAAATGGAATCTTAAGTTGCACTGAGGAAGATTTGCATGATATAACAGGAAGGACTTCCCTGTGTTTAGGTGGGAAGATATTGCAGTAATGATAATACTGGCCACCACTTACAGAATACTCCACAGAGATGGACTCATTTACCTCACAAAGCCTTATGAGGTGCCCCATTTTTGTTCCCGTGGTAGTGATGAAATAATTGAGGTTTAGAGAAAGAGTCAATGTGACCTGATGAAAGCCTACAGCTAGTCAGTAGCAGAGCAGCGACTCAAACCCAGAGCCCATCTACTTGTTGACTCTGCTGCTCTGGAATCTGCTTTTCTTGCCAAGAACTTTAATAATAGCATTATGTCCAGATCTGGGTTAGGCTCATTCTTGATGGGGGTTGGGGGGGGGGATGGAAGAAATGACCCCTGTAGACATTTTCTTGCATAAGGCTTTTGTAATACATCCAATTTCTCCTTCTATAGAACACCAGGATTACTTCACTCCCCTTTGCGGACACTAAGGGGAAGAAGAATATGGTAAGCTTCCCACACATTAGCAGCAAAGTCCTGCTGAAGTCATCCCTGCTGTATCAGGTGAGTGCAGGAGGATGGGACCCTGAGCAGGTGTGTGAAAGACCTGGTTTTAGTCCAAAATCAGTTTTATAAAGGCCCAGGATGGCGGGGAAAAGCACAGTATCCGCTGAAGAGTTGGATTCTAGTCCTGTTCTCACTCTTTTTGATGGCTATAAGCTTGAGCAAATAAGTCCCTGACCTTTTATTAGCTACAAAACGGACCCTCTATAGAGCTGTCAGGAGGATTCATTGAAGAAAGGAAAAATGAAGCGCTGGTGCATAAAAGATGTATAAAATATGAGTTTCCTCCCATGTCCCCCTACTTCTCTTGTGTAGGGGCCAAATGAGATAATATGTGGGAAATAGCCAACTTAAAGAGGTGTCATACACACATAACTTCATGTGCTTCTGGGCAAGTCAGTTTGTCTAGTTGGGAACTCACCTTCTTAAGAGCAGCTCTGAGGCCGGGCATGGTGGCTCACGCCTGTAATCCTAGCACTTTGGGAGGCCAAGGTGGGCAGATCATGTGGTCAAGAGATCAAGACCATCCTGGCCAACATGGTGAAACCCCGTCTCTACTAAAAAAATATAAAAATTAGCTGGGCGTGGTGGCGTGCGCCCGTAGTCCCAGCTACTTGGGAGGCTGAGGCAGAAAAATTGCTTGAACCCAGGAGGCGAAGATTGCAGTGAGCCGAGACTGCACCACTGCACTCTAGCCTGGTGCCTGGCAATGGAGCAAGACTCTGTCT